TGACTTCAGTACTTTGATGACTTCAGTCCTTTGGTTTCACTGATGAAGGTACTCCCTTCACTATTGCAGACTTTAACTCATCTATGCCTTCAAATCCTGGTTGATTTTTTAAAGATGTCTTTGAATAAATTCTCCATAGATGGCTAACTAAAGGCTCCTGTAAATATTTTAACAGGGGAGCTAGATGACACAGTGAATAGAATGCCAGACTTGGAGTCAAGACGAGTCATCTTCCTGTGTTAAAATCTGGCCTGAGACACTAACTGTGTAACCCTGGGCAAGTCACTTAACGCTGTTGGCCACAGTTTCCTCATCTACAGAATGAGTTGGATAAAGAAATGGCAAACCATGTTAGTGCTTTTTGCCAAGAAAACCCCAAATGGTGTCACGTAGAGTCAGAAACAACTGTAATAACAATATTTGAACATTTTGTGGGTAACATTTTGTGCAGCACCCAAACTGTGCACTTGTTGTCCTTCCTGACTTATGCTACACAATTGACACACTTCCTTCTCCAATCATAATTTTCCTTAGTCATGTTTTTTGTACCACATCACTGGGTATATGCTACAACCCACTCCGCACTCTCCCCTGCCCCACATTTCAGTCTTGCCCTTTGAGTTAGCCACAGTTTTCACTCTTTGAAAATCATAGATTTTGTGATTTACAATTATCACAAGGATGTAATTAGTGTTAAAAAGATTTGTTCTGTTTTGTTTTGATATAAGGTAATAGTTTGGACTTGTTTAAAGGCCAGCAGAGTCCAGATTCATTCCAGCTCTCTCCTCTTGCCTTCTTAGTTAATTCTGCATCCGGTCCCTTGCCCGCCATTGATATAACCTAAGACATAGGCACTGATGTACTTCTTCATTGAGGTGCCCAATCCTATGACATAGTGCAATCCAAGCATTCTTTGTCTGCTTACTTTTTCCTTCAGAATACTACACTGATCTTTCATTTTTTGTGGATCTTATTTAGGAAGTAGCCCTGTAGTATTTTGTGTTTTGTTCAATTAACAAAATGTCACCTGTGAACAGAAACATCTGGAAAAGTTCACCTTCTACAAGAGATTTTTCTTCCGTTTGGAGTCTGTATAGAACATTGCTAGTTATGTTTGTCTTGGATATGCTTTTTATGTCAATGAGTGCTTATATTCAGAGTACTTGAAAAATAATACATTTGTGCTTTAATGTGCTCATTTTCCTTTTGAGTCTCCTACATTTGTTACTACAGTAACACGTCTAGTAAGTGTTAGAGATAGGATTTGAATCCAGTTCTCTCAAAGTATGGTATCCTTTTTATTTTTTTGAAAAGTTTTAAAATGATGAATTTAATAAATAACATCGGACTTGGAACATTTTAGTACACAAAGCATAGCAAAAAGTAGATTATATATGACTCCATGATTCACAACTTATTTTTTAGATACACATATTAATTTTTATATGATGATGCCAATATTGTACCAACACAGCCTTAACTTCATTCCCTTTTACTTTGGTTTGTGAGTTTTTTATGTTTTATTGATACTTTTTCTCCTAATATCCTGAGTAGGGAAAAATGATAGAATTTTAACTTTGGAATTAGTTTAGCTAATTTGGGATCCCCAACCAGCAATTCAAAATCTCCAGTCTTTACCTGTTAAGGTACCTAGACCCATGGCTGCTGCGTTCTCTATGATTTGTTTTTAGGACTACAAGGATGGGGGAAGACAAAGGGTTATTCAGAAGCTTTCTCTTCTCCTTCATTCAGGGATTTAGATGGTCAACACTCTCTCCAGCTTCTGTTAAATATTTCACTTTCCAAACACTTTGCTCTGAAAAACCCTTTTCCTTCCCCACCTCCTTGGTTTCACAGTTTCAAGGAGTTGGAAATAACTCTTCACAAAAAGTTGGCAGCTCCTAATCTGTCTTTCCCTCTTAGCCAAGAAGTGTACAGTGATAGCTCTTCTTGTGTGCCCATTTTCACATGCTGAAAATCAATTATGGAAGGGGCTTTTCTCAGCTTCCATTTGGTCATAAGTTCATCTCTGTCAGCTGAGTGATAATTTGAGGGCAGGTGGAAAGTCAGCTTGCTGCTTGTACTTAATAGGAAAGGGGAATGGTGGAGGGAAAACTTTTCTTCTGCTTGGAGCAAGCGTGACTTATTCTGATGACATTTAAAGCAGAAAAGGAAAACTCAGGGTAAAGATAACAAAGAAGAAAGCACCTAATTTCCCCCCTTAATAATAGATAGGAACAGTAGCTAGGAATAATAGTAATTTTGTAACCTTGGACTTCATCCAAGGTTACAAAATTGGTAAATTTCAGAGTCAGGATTTGAACCTAGGGGTTCATGACTCCAAGTCCAGTGCCCTAATTTAATTTGTGTTAATTTATATAGTGCTGGGTGGTACAGTGAATACAGCACTGGACTTGGAATCAGGAAGACTCACCTTCATGAATTCAGATCCAGCCTTAGACTTACTAGCAGGGTGACCCTGGACATATCAGTTAACCCTGTTTGCCTCAGTTCCTTATATGTAAAATGAACTGGAGAAGGAAACAGCAAAGCACTCTAGTATCTTTTCCAAGAGGATCCCAAAATAGGGTCATGAAGAGTTGGACAAGATTGAACAACAACATATAGTATTAATCTAAATTAATGTATATTGTACTTTAAGATTTGCAAGGTCCTTTCAAATATTATCTCATTTTGTTCTCAGGATAACCCTGGGAAGTAGATGCTATTATTATCTCCTTTTATAGTTGAAGAAACTGAGGCAGATAGAGGTTAAATGACTTGCCTAGGCTTACACAGTAAATATTTGATGTAGGATTAGAACTTGGGTCATTGTGAGTCCAAGGCCAGTGCTCTATCCACACTGCCACCTAGCTACCTTGATAGTGCTTAATTAATTTTAGTAAGAGATATCCTTTGGGTCCATTTTATTGACTAATTTCTGTCTTCCATGAATGAGGATGGAAATCTTTAATTGGTTGTTTTATTGCTATTTTTTTAACTCAGTGACCCAAAATATATGAGGAGTCAAATTTAATATTGGCTAAAAATCTGGAGGTTTTTAGTAATGATTATTTTGTCAGCTGAATTAATAGCAATCAAAGGGAAGTGTTCCTGTAACATTTCTGGAAGTAAATGCTTATGAAAGCAGTCTGTCCAGTGTCTCTGACAGATTTTACATTTTACAGTTATCCTACCAACTCATTGGTTTTTTTCTAAGACCTAGGCATCCAGGTTGTAGATCATATTCATCTTTCCTGAGAGTTTTAACAGAAAACTTTTTTTTCTTTGCCTAATTAGCTCCCACTGGTGAAGTAGTGGAACAGCAGGACCTAAACACCTGCCTACCACCATAGTTGTGTAACTGAACTGCTAACAGGTGTTACGGTAGCAAATTCGGAACAATTAGTAATTATAATTAAAGTTGAATGTAAAGGGCAATGGAAAAAATGCTATATTTAGAGTCAAGGTTCAGATCCTGGCTCTTCCATTTACTGCTTTGGTCATTTCAGTTATTTCAGTCATTTTACCTCTAGGGGCCTTGGTTTATAAAATGCAAAGTGAGCGAATTGGACTAGATGATCCTTAAGCTCCCTCCCAAGCCGTGCTACTATGAACCATGAAATTAAAATCATAAGACCCGTCCATCCTACCACCCCTCCCCTATACACCTATCTGGATTTTTTTTTATCATATGTACCACTAATAAAAATCTGCATATTCTTTCTTTCTTTCTTTCTTTCTTTCTTTCTTTCTTTCTTTCTTTCTTTCTTTCTTTCTTTCTTTCTTTCTTTCTTTCTTTCTTTCTTTCTTTCTTTCTCTCTTTATTCATTTAGATTTTTTTTCCCATACGCTGTTGAGTTGAAAATTTTTTCTCCCTTTTTCTCCCCCCCACCCTCCCCAAGACGGCGCACAATCTGACATAGGCTTTACATTTACATACCCATTAAACATATTTTCACATTAGTGAAGTTGTAAGTAAAAATTAAAACCAATAGGAGGAACCATCAGAAAGATGTAACAAAACTCAACTGAAGGTAAAAATAAGTGAGAGCGATTCGACTTCCATAGTTCTTTCTTTGGATGTGGACAGCATTTTCCATCATGAGGCCTCTGGGGACATCTTAGATCGTAGTAATGCTGAGAAGGGTTCAGTTTAACATTCTTAGTCATTGCATAATGTGGCTGCTATTGTATACAAAGTCCTCTTGGTTCTGCTCACTTCACTCAGCATCAGACCACATAAGTCTTTCCATGTTTTTCTGAAGTCAGCCTGTTCATCATTTCTTATAGCACAATAGTATTCCATTACATTCATATACCACCACTTGCTCAGCCATTCCCCAATTGATGGGCATCCTCTCAATTTCCAATTCTTTGCCACCACAAAAAGAGCTGCTATGTATATTTTTGTACATGTGGGTCCTTTTCCCATTTGTTTGATCTCTTTGGGATATAGCCCTAGAAGTGCTATTGCTGGATCAAAGGGTATGCACATTTTTGTAGCCCTTTGGGCATAGTTCCAAATTGTTCTCCAAAATGGTTGGATCATTTCACAACTCCACCAACAATGTATTAGTGTTCCAATTTTCCCACATCCTCTCCAACATTTATCATTTCCCTGTTTTGTCATGTTGGCCAATCTGATAGGTGTGATGTGGTACCTCAGAGTTGTTTTGATTTGCATTTCTTTAATCAATAACGAAAAATCTGCATATTCTTCCTGCTGTAGGTCAAGTTAGCTATTTAGTCAGCTCTTTCATTTAATAAGTGAAGAAACTGAGTCCCAGATAGGTGACCTTGTCCAAGGTCACAAAACTGGCAAATTTCAGAGGCAGGATTTGAACCTAGGAGTTTGTGACTGCCAGTCTAGTCCTCATAAGCACATTTACCAATATCTTAACAACTGTATTTAATAGTTATCAATTTTATGGAATAATTTTTAAAAGATATATATTTTATTCAGGTGCTAATGAAATTATTTTCTTTTATTTTTACAGAGCCTCTTCTAAACAAATTCATGACCATGGGGGATATGAAGACCCCAGACTTTGATGATCTTCTTGCAGCTTTTGACATCCCAGATATGGTCGATCCTAAAGCAGCTATTGAGTCCGGCCATGATGACCATGAAAGTCACATAAAACAGAATGCTCATGTTGATGAGGATTCACATGCGCCATCATCCTCCGATGTTGGTGTCAGTGTTATTGTTAAAAATGTCCGGAACATTGATTCTTCTGAAGGAGTTGATAAAGATGGCCACCATTCTACAGGCAATGGTTTACATAATGGGTTCCTGGCAGCATCCACACTAGAAAGCTATAATAAAGATGGAACAAAGTCTCTGAAAGATGATGGACCAGCCCCTGAGGTAAAACTTAAAGAGACAACTTTCAATCAATTTAGTCCTATCTCAAGTGCAGAAGAGTTTGATGAAGATGAGAAAATAGAGGTGGATGACCCACCTGATAAGGAGGAAATTCGTTCTAACTTCAGAGCAAATGTGTTGACAGGATCAATTTCCCAACAGGACTATGAAAAACTAAAAGCACTTGGAGGGGAAACTTTAATCAAGCCGGGAATTCCTGCTGCTACCACCTTAGACAAAAACAAAGTTATTAAAAGAGAAACAGAAACAAATTCCATAACCCTGGGCGTGTATGAGCCCTTCAAAGTTAGAAAAGTAGAAGATAAATTGAAAGAAAACTCTGAAAAGATGCTTGACAGCAGGGTACTTGATGGAAAGCTCAGCTCTGAGAAGAGTGAAGCCAGTCTTGCCAGTGCTGCTCAGTCAAAGGCAAAATCATCAGCCAAGTTATCTTCATGCATTGCTGCGATTGCGGCTCTCAGTGCTAAAAAAGCTGCCACAGACACCTGTAAGGAGCCAGTGGCTAATTCAAGAGAGCCTTCTCCATTACCAAAAGAAATGAATGATAGTCCTCGTGCTGCTGAAAAGTCCCCTGAGTCTCAGAGTCTTATTGATGGTGCGAAAAAGACATCTGTAAAGCCACCTGATAGCCCCAGGAGCGTCTCCAGTGAAAACAGCAGTAAGGGATCTCCATCTTCTCCTGCAGGGTCAACACCAGCAATCCCTAAAGTCCGCATAAAAACCATCAAGACATCTTCTGGAGAAATCAAAAGAACAGTAACGAGGGTTTTGCCTGAAGTTGACCCAGACTCTGGAAAAAAGCCTTCAGAGCAGACTCCTTCCATGGTGGCTTCAGTGACATCACTTTTATCCTCACCCACTTCTGCTACCGTCCTGGCTTCTCCCCCACGAGCACCCCTGCAGTCCGCTGTGGTTACAAATACAGTTTCCTCTGCAGAACTGGCTCCCAAACAGGTCACTATCAAGCCTGTGGCTACTGCCTTCCTTCCTGTTTCAGCAGTGAAGACGGCAGGGTCCCAAGTGATTAATTTGAAGCTTGCTAACAATACTACAGTGAAAGCCACCGTCATCTCTGCTGCTTCTGTCCAGAGTGCCAGCAGTGCCATCATAAAAGCTGCCAATGCTATTCAGCAGCAAACGGTGGTGGTGCCCGCATCGAGCCTTGCTAATGCTAAACTTGTGCCAAAGACTGTGCACCTTGCCAACCTTAATCTTCTGCCTCAAGGTGCCCAAGCCACCTCTGAACTCCGCCAAGTGCTCACTAAACCTCAGCAGCAAATAAAGCAGGCAATAATTTCTGCAGCAGCCTCGCAGCCACCAAAAAAGGTGTCCAGAGTCCAGGTGGTATCTTCTCTGCAAAGTTCTGTCGTAGAAGCTTTCAACAAGGTGCTGAGTAGCGTCAACCCAGTCCCCGTTTACATCCCGAACCTTAGTCCTCCAGCGAATGCAGGGATCACGTTACCAACCCGGGGTTACAAGTGTTTGGAATGTGGTGACTCGTTTGCTCTGGAAAAGAGTCTGACTCAGCATTATGATAGGCGGAGTGTACGCATTGAAGTAACATGTAACCATTGTACAAAGAACTTAGTTTTTTACAACAAATGCAGTCTGCTTTCCCATGCTCGTGGACATAAGGAAAAAGGAGTTGTGATGCAGTGCTCCCATTTAATTTTAAAACCAGTCCCAGCAGATCAAATGATAGCTTCTCCTTCGAGCAATACTTCCACAACATCTACTCTGCAGAATTCTGCAGGAGGTGGCACACATAATGTAACAAAAATTCAGTCTGGCATAACTGGGACAGTCATCTCAGCTCCCTCAAGTACACCTATAATTCCGGCTATGCCTCTAGATGAAGACCCATCCAAACTCTGTAGACATAGTCTGAAATGTTTGGAGTGTAATGAAGTTTTCCAAGATGAGACGTCGCTGGCTACACATTTCCAGCAGGCTGCAGACACAAGTGGACAAGTAGAGTATCTTATATTTAAATTTCCATGTTTTCAGCCACAAATCTCAGTATGTGTACAATAGAAATAAGATGAATTTATGATTTGATAAATGGAGGCTGGGGAAAGTGAGTATAAGATGTACACTTTTACAGAAAAAGTATCTAGTTATGAGCCACGTTGAACAAATAGCTTCTTTTTCCTACTATTTGGAAGTTGATTTTTTTTAAACAAATGAATGTCTTGGTATACCAAATAAGTAAACAAACAATAGTTATACTGTAAGTTTAGAATAAGTGAAAGAAATCTTTTCACAGGAACATGGGTTAGGATTTGACCTGAGATTTTAGATAGTTTAACTGTTCTTCATATTGTACTATATGCTTAAGCGTCCAGATTCATTGTCAAAGGTTCTTAGCATCAGTGACAAATTTTGGGTATTTTTATTATATTCATTCAGCTGTATCTGTTGGAGTTTCTATGTACAGTCAAATACACTTAATTGGTGCCCTGCTTAATGGTGTGTTTGGGAGGATAGCCAGGAACTAAATTCAAAGTAATATATTTCACTTCAGTGAATCTCAGCTAGGAATAAGTGGCACTCCTCCTTCCATTTAAATGGAATGCCTGCTGGAATTTGCAAGCCTTTTTTTTTTGCGGGGGGGTATAGTTTAACAAGTATGAATTGATATTCAGTGAAATAAATTTCCCAGTGGGTAGCTTTTCATTCATTTCCTGCTGCTTCTCTCCATGGGTGCTTGATCAATGAGATTAGCCTTTTAAAATATTTGAGTAGTCGTGTATTGTTTTTAAAGTTACTTGACAAAATGCAGTAAGCTCAAGATAGCTCCCCCCACAGCAAAAAAAAAAAAATCTGCTTTTTTAGGACCTTAAGATTATATTGAAGCTTATATTGAATTTTTTTTTCCACCTTTCCTAAAGGAAGTTTATTAGGAGGCATTCCACTGTATTTCAGAGGTGTTTAGTGTATCATGGTAATTCAACCTTTAAATTTTGACAGCATTTTTGGAGTTTTTATATTCTGTTGTAATAGTGAGCCCTTAAAGAAGAGTAGGGCAGTTTGATGGGTCAAAATGAAGAGAATCATACAGTGATATCCTAGGATGTTCCAGTGATAATGCTTGGTATTCTTTCAGTTGAGTAAATTTCTTAGACTGTCACTGCTTCATCAAAAGGCAGAATTTCTTTTCGTCTTAAAAAGATACAAGTCTAGATGTATTGACTACGGTTTTGTCTTCTTTGGTTTTCAATTATTGTATTTCCTCCCATTTCTTTGTAAACATGTTGACAAATTTGATATTTTAGGAAAGGGATTTGGGAAGGCACGAAAAATTCTTTTCTCTTAATTTTAACCCTTCTTTATATATATTGACAGATATAAGATTTCCCCAGTTAAACCAATTTTTAAAAAGGCAAATTCACATTAATTAAGCACCTACTTGGGTTAGGTGCCAGGAACAGAAAGACAAAAGATGATCCTTTCCTTTAAGAGCTTACATTCTACTGGGAAAGGATAACATTTACACAGATAAGGAAATATAAGTAAATTTGAGGAGGGCAAGTTCATTAGGAACTAGAAGAGAAGTGAGAGAAGATATAGGAGTCAGTGAAGGCTTCATCAGAAGGTGATCCTTTGAAAGAAGATAAGGATTCAACGAGGTAATGATGAGGAGGATATATGCTACAGGTTTGTACAGATGAGATGAAATGTTAAAGTTGAGGTGAAAAGGCCAGTGGTTTTAGCAAGTAAGAGACCACTGGTGACATGGGTAAGAACAGTTTCAAAAGAGTGATGTGTTAAAAAGCCAGATTATAGAGTATTGAGATGTTAATCACTGGTAAGGCAATAGAGGCATCTGGTATCGATGACTCTAGAATTTTGACAGTGAAAGAGAGGGTGGATCAAGGGTGATGGTGGTTGTCAGAATGAAGGAAAGATTTTTCAAGGATAGGGGAGAGTGAACTATGTTTTTCCCCCCTTTATTTCTCTCTTTTTTAAAAAAATTTTCATTTTCCCCAGTCAACAAGTACTTATTTTTCTCCTTTCCCCAATTGAAAACCAATCCCTTACAAAAAAACCCAAAAAACCAAAAACCGAACCAAATCAAATCCTTTTAAACAAACACTCAGTCAAGCAAAACAAATTTCCACATTTGCTATGCCAAAAATGTATGTCCTATCCTGAATCCTGAATCTATCACCCCTCTATCAGGTGGTGGTGAATAGGTAGCATGCTTCCTTTTTTTGTTCCTTAGGAATTATGATTGCTCATCACGTTGATCAGAGTTACTATTTCAAAATTTCTCATTTTTATATTGTTGCTGTCCTCCTCCTGGTTCTGCGCATTTCGCTGTTCATCAGTTCACAGGAGTCCCACCAGGTTTCTTTGAAACCATTTATTGTCTCTTACCATATAGTAAATAGTGTTGTATTACATTCTGATACCATAATTTGTTAGGTCATTCCTCGGTTGATGGGTACCCCTTAATTTTCCAGGTTTTTTAAACACTAAACAAAGAGCTACTATAATTTATTTTTGTACGTTTGTTTACTTTTATTTTTTCTTTGACCCTTTTGGAGGTATAGGAGTGGATTGTATTTGTAAGCAGTGAGTCAGAAACAAGTGAATGGGAAGAGATTTACCATGAGGAGTCAGAGGAATGATCAATGACTCAAGTACCAGGAATAGTTGAGAAGGAAAGGGGCTGAGGACATAAGTAGAAGAATTAGCCTTGGGAAAGTGAAACATTTTATTTAGTATTATTTTTCTAGATCTGCTTTTCAGGGAGGTTTCTAATTCTCCATTCAATTTTCACATGTTAATGCCAGGTCGGCCATGATATTTGTGAATAACTTACAAATCAACAGAACTGTTTTAACATTAAGCATAGTTTGACTTCAAACAGACTATCTCTGATTGTGCTTTAACAAAAAGACACTTTCTAGTTGTCAAAAAATTTCCATTGTTTCATTTTCATAATTATAGAAATTTGACCCAAAATATGAAATTATTTCTAGAAATCTTTAAAAATAATGTTACTAAAATACTTTCTAGATCTTAAGATTGGTTATTAGTAGTGCAATATTAATATGTTTTAGTATAGTCAGAGTAAAAATATCAATGTACACATTATGGTACAGGTTACAAATGTGCTTTTGTACATGTGTATGCTGAGGCTAATCTTTTGTTTGAGGCTTCTGACTTGATCAGAGGATTATCACATGAAAATATTTGATGACCTTGGTTTTCTGGTATGAAAGGGTTTTTTTGTTATTGTTTTTGGAGAGGGTGTCCAGTCCTGTGATTTTGTTGCTTCCATGAATTCCTGGTGAGGAAATTCACTCTAGCAATGCAGATGAGTAACTGTTCTGCAATGTTTATAGTCTTTGAGAGTGGTTTGATAGTCTGAGGGATTGGCTGGCTTGCCCAGGGTCACAGAACCAGTATGTATTAGAGGTAGATCTTAAACCCTGGTCTTCTTGATAAGACAGGCTCTTCCAGTAAGTCATGATCTCTCTCATAGCTCTAATTTCATAATGCATACACATACACAGATGTGTATCCATATGTGTATATCTACATATATATGTTGTATACACATAACACATAGGCACATACTCCCATACTTTGAAAGATGAATATTTTGATTGGTGAAATTTTTGTTAGCACAGATTGTCCCCATTCTCCATAATTTATTTAGTAGATGGTTGTCACCAGTAGCTGTGGCCAAAAATAATAATCGTGGCATAGCCAGTCTTCGCATGCTGTGCTTCCCCACTCTTTAGCTAGGCTGGTATTCAGAGAACAAAACACACAGTCTGTTGTTGCTGACCGCATACTCAGTCAACATTGTAGGAAATTGTTCTTGCTGTCATAGGTTTTGAGAGCCAAGGATAAATATAAACCATTGGAATAAGATTTTAATGTGTGTATTAAGTATGTTTCTGTGTGTTTTGTATGTAGATTCTTATTTAGACACGTGTTCAATTATCATTGTCAAATGACAAATATTTTTTGAGCATTTATTATATGTGAGGTGCTGTCTTAGACACCATAGACTTCAGCAGTAACAATAAGAAATACTTCCTGTCCTCCTCAAGGAACTTGTAGTCAACTTGGAGAAATAAGGCATTTAAAGTAAAACACAAGACATAATGTGTAATAAGAGAGCCTTGGAATGTTATACAGTAGTGCAGAGGAAAGCTAAAAGAGCATCCTCTCAGGAACATATAATTTGGTTTTGAAAAAGGGTTAAGAAGTGGAATAGTTAAAACATTTCAAATTCTCATGATTTTTTGAATAGTAAAACTTGGACTTGAGGCTGAAATGTTGGCATTGATGCCACTGTTATACTTAGTGGATTGGTCTACCCAGTAACACACCAGCATCTTGGCAGCAGATAAACTAAGGCATGTGGATGTAACCTTTTGTTCACCTTTATTTCAAAGTATTTTTGCCACAGTGGAAGGGAGAATTCTTTTAGACGGAAGATTCATGGTTGGCTCTCAAGCTACTTCATTTTGACACAGATGGCAAAACAAACTCAAATGTTTTTGAGCCAGACACATGGGTGGTTTGGTAATACTTTTCTTATATAGAACCAGTCAATAGGTACTCAACTAAATTGTGCACATTAATTATGAATAATGTTGACCATACCTGGGCTGAGATCTAGTATGTTCTCTTAATACAGAGAAGGGTATACTTAAGTTGCTGTGACTTCGTTTGAGAGTTCTTCAGTTTCTGATTGGAGAGCTCAGCTTCCTAAAACTAAAATTGTAAGGTTTTTTTAAAGAATAAATTAGCAGAACGAGTCTTTAGGTTTGGGTCTGTTCTGTGTATAGAAAGAAGGCATTTTTCTAAGTATATTTTGGTGTTTTTCTTAAATTGTAAAGCAGTGCTAAGGACTTGAGATCAGCCTTAATAATTAATGTTCATGTGCATTGGCATATCACTACTTAATCTCTTTAATTAAACTGTATATAGGCAAAGGGGTATGG